GTATCACGTTGATTGATTTGCGAATGTTGAACCAGCCCTGCATCCCAAGAATGAATCCCACTTGATCATGGTGAATAATTCTTTTTATATCTGGCTGCATTATTTTGATTAAAAACTCAAAAAGTAAAAAATTCAAAAGCCAAACACTATAAAAAGAACAAGAATCAAATGTTGAGACTTTGTGTCAAGTAATATTCTTTATTGTTCTAAAAATCAAGAGCAAACCCAGCTCCGTGGTTTCCTATCCCCGTGACTACACTATAATTGTAATGTACTTCAAAGTTTGATCTGTCCGAGAAAAAATGAAAAGCGCATAGCTTGACTCTATTATTCCCCTGTTGATATCATGTACTTCCTGTAGTCTGCACACAAACACACACGCACACACATGCATGCACCCCTCTTGATGCTCTGGGCACTTGGTAACCTGAGTTTACCACACAAAGAAAGTCTTTACCTGAAATGTCACAGTAAACTGTCTGCTGATAGAGCTTGGCTTCCAGGGGATTAAAGTACACAGTGATTTCAGCTGATGAGTTAGGCCAGACATCACCTTCCTGAAACCATGAAAGAATCATTAAAAAACAATGTGATAAAGGGAAGACACTGCTTTTAAATGTTGCTATTATGTTATAACCTCAGAAAATTTGAAGGCAATATTTTTACAACAGATTAAAGAAAGCACTATTTTACCCAACAGATAGTAAATTTATTCTACTCGTTAAGAGGTGCTACCAGTTGGAAGCAAGCTTCAAAGATAATTTCAGTGAGTTCATGAATATATAATTACTAAAGGAAACTAGGATGTTTAGAACATTTTCAGTATTTGCGTATCCAATGGACACTTGTTGTATGCCAACAGATGCCCAACACTGGGCTTCAGAGATGAAGAAAGGTGAGGTCTGAGACTACAAGGAACTCACATCTTAAAGGGGTCATAAGTATGCTTACAAATATTTTATGATAGATGTGATAGGTGCTGCACCATATCTGTCTGTCTGTCTATCTATCTATCTATCTATCTATCTATATGATCTATATATCATATCTATCTATCTATATGGTCCAGATGAGTAACTTACTTGATGGAGGGGCCACGTTCCTAACTTTTAAGGTGACAGCACAAGGACATACTCTTAACTTGTGAAAACATAGCAATGGTCCAAAGCAAAACAATGCCCAGATCCAACGCTGGTTCTAATCCAGTGTGATATTTCTTGTTTTAATGCAAACCACTCGAAAGTAATAATAAAGAAACCAAGTTTTGAAATTGTAATACAACATGCTACATATGAGAATCTCCTTGAGGTATTCATTGAAAAATATTTTTGTATTAACCATGTAACCTGGGTCCTCTTCATTAAATTGTCAGGACTGTAAAAGGAGATGCCAGTAGCACCTGCTTCAAAGGGTTTCTCACCCAAAGTCTGACAAGGTCATGCAGGTCAAATGCTTTGCCCCACACTTGGTACACAGTTAGAGCTCAATAAATAACTGTTTAATATAAGTGATGTTACCTTTATGCCACCTGGAAAGAATAAGATAAAAGTATTTTTCAAAAATTAGGGGGGGGGGATGGTGTGTATTTTTCTATGGTTTTTGTAAATAGGACCAAGTAGGGAAAAAGTGATAATCACATTAGAAAAGTTATAAATGACCCCACTAGCTAAAGAGAAAACTAAAAAAAGACAACCTGGCTCTGTTTCAGACAATCCCCAATGCATATTGTATTCACTCCAGGCTGGCTAGAAATGCACATAGTGGTAGAGTAAAGAATAAAGCAAGGAACAAAATGGTTTACAAAGCAGACATCGAACAAGAGGGTGGAAATAGAAAACTAGAGCCAACTTGGGTTTGTTCATGAAGGCAACAGACTGATCAGTGAACTTCCCAGGCAGTATCCTGACTTCACAATGATGAAGGGCACAGAAGCAGTGGTGAGGGCTGTGAGTGTTGCATGGATCCTGGAAGCTCTCACATCTGAGATCAGCCCACTAGAATGAAGGCCCCATGACTGCAGGGACTGTTTTATTCCCAGCACCTAACCCACAAGTGGCTCATAGTCCTCAACATATTTATTCAATCGGCTGTATCCACGACTGTATAGTTATCAGCCGATGCCTATTCATCTTTGCAACCTATATCTGCCATATTCTCAACTGGACAAAAGTAATACAAATTTAGAGCTGAAAGGGACCTCTAGGATCATGTGGGGATAGGGAAGCCCTAAGTGCTTTCACTTATTGAGGCATTTCACTTTTCCAAACTTTGAAACCAGTATTTGTTCCCTTCTGATAAATGGCAAATGCTGGTCCCTTATGACTTGGGGCTCCAATGATACGGAGTGTTAGGAACACTCTCAGCTAGAACAGACAAAGTGGTCAGGCACAAGAGGTGGCTCGTCCATTCACAGGTCCAATGGTGCACACTTCATCTTAGAACTAAAGATCCGGACTTCCTCCTAACCAGTAGACAAATGTATTCTTCTGGTGGGTTTAGATGCTGCTCTGTTTGGGGGTGCAGAACGGACACAACTAACCTGTTCCTATCCAAACTGACTGACCAAAGGAGCTACTTTGGATCCTAAGAAAACCTATGCTAGAAAAGTCTCACCAGGACAGTAAGATGTGGTCCCAAGAAGGATACACTGGAAATCAGATAAGCTCAGTACATGTGAGAAAATTCAAGCCTCTTAGTGTTTGGGGTGCACCAGACGACTTTCAAAAGCATTATCCCAGCAAGAGAATCCAGGATCCATGTGCACACAAGATGGAAACACACTTAAGTTCTATCCTAGAAGCATTCTTGGACACCGCATCACCACAAAAGTCTGATTAGCAGAACTGGTGGGTTGGAAAACAGTGGGAAGACACACTCTGGAGGTGACCAGAATCTCCCCCAGAGGAGGGAGCATTGGTGTTTGGACGTGATCCATAAGAGGATCCTCTGATCTGGAGGCTCCTGGAGGCTGATAAGCCATTCTGTATAGTGAGGAAAGACGAGTGTGAGGGAATCTGAGTCCACAGGGTTCAGTCTGAGTGAATGGGACCATCGGCTCAGTGCCTCCTTATCCTGGGCTGCGGTGGTTTTACTGTGCCAGCAACATCTGCTAGTCACTTGCAGCTTTTACTGAGCCCTGGGAGAAAATTCAAGCACAAATCCTATTCTAAAACCCTCTCCTGGGGGTACCTGGGTGGCTCTGTCAGTTAAGCATCTGACTCTTGATTTTGGCTCAGGTCATGATCTCACAATCGTGAGACTGAGCCCCCTGTTGGGCTCCACACTGAGCATGGAGCCTGCTTAATATTGTCGATCCCTCCTTCTCCCTCTGTTCCTCTCTCACTCTTGCGTGCATGCTCTCTCAGAAAGAATAGAAAAAGAAAAGAAAAGAAAGAGAGAGAGGGAGAGAGGGAGAGAGGGGGTGAGAGAGAGAGAGGAGGGAACGAGGGAGGAAGGAAGAAAACCCTCTCCTGGGCTTGTAGGAGTTAATGTACATTAAGAGGACTATGTGTATCTATAAAAAGAGCAATGTGGTCATTCCATTTCCTCTCACAGAGGGATGCTGTCAATATCAGGTCATTTGAAGGAGTTAGGAATTTGTAGAAGGACACTTATTTTTCACTTAGGATTTAAAAGGTGAGTAACTTCTATTTCTTTTTTTTCCTTTTTTTCACACTTTAAAAAATGTTTTATTTATTTATTTTGAGGAGGGGTGGAGCAGAGAGAGAGAGAGAGAGAGAGAGAGAGAGAGAGAGAGAGACTTCCAAGCAGACTACGCACTGTCAGCATGGAGCCTGGCACAGGGGCTCGAGCACACAAACCATGAGATCACGACCTGAGTTGAAATCAAGAGGTGGTCATTTAACTGACTGAACCACTGCTGCTCCAACTTCTATTTCTTTACAGCAAAAACTCTTTATAGCATCTTCTAGCAAATCAGAGAAAACAAACCTCAGAAACAGGCAATCAGCCTAAACTGACCCCACTTTTACTTACATAGCTCTGAAACATTTCACATTACTTCTCAACTCTTCTGAAATTAAATTTCCGTGTCATTTAAGTCTCTGAAAAGAATTTTTCCTTCATTATTGCTCCATTGTAAAATCTCTTTCTGAAAACCAAAACATTCAGAATTTTCCCTGTTGGCTCTGCCATCAATATCCTTTCTTCCCAGTCCTCTGAAACCAACCTCACCACACAGAACACCTGCTGTCCTGCTTTCTTCCATGTGTGTTTTGGGGGTGGGTGGGTGTGTGTGTGTGTATGACCCATCTTCTATCATCATCTATTCTTCTACTCCAAAAGAGAGACTGAGTATATAGAATGTGACCTGTAAGTGACTCTTATTTTGTTTGTTGAAAATAATTGTCAAAATGGCCTTCAGTTATGTTTAATTATCTTCCTTCTTGATCTTAATATTTGTTTTTTCCTCAGATCCACAACTGCATTTCATTTCTCAATCAAGCAGCCTACTAGAAGGAATCAGCTTTGAATTTTCAGGTCCATAGCTAACTCTCATACTGCAGCTTTTACTCAAATATTAAATATTTCTATAAATGGGATGTCATGCTTCCTTCTGGAACAAGAACAACCAACCAAGTGACTTGCTAGATACTTTTGAGAGTTTTGGAAAGCTGTCTATGAACACACTGCCACTAGTTCATAACAGGTGATTGATACCATCATGATAAAGTTGTCCTTTTAAAGTTATCTTCTTAAAAAACCTACATTGACAATGACTAAAGGGGCTATTTTAAAAATATCCTTTAAGAACCCTTAAATAAAAAACAAAATATTTTTTCCAAAATGTTTAATGTTTATTTAATTTTGAGAGAGACAGAGGGCGAGTGGGGGAGGGTCACAGAGAGAGGAAGACGCAGAATCCAGATTCTCTATGAGCTGTCAGCACAGAGCCCAACATGGGGCTCAAACTCACAAACTACGAGATCATGACCTGAGCCAAAGTCCAATGCTTAACTGAATGAGCCACCCAGGTGCCCCCAAAAACAAAATGCTTTAAAAATCACCTTCCTGGGTGCCTGGGTAGCTCAGTGTCTTAAGTGTCCGACTCTTGATTTCGGCTCAGGTCAGGATCTCGCAGTTCATGAGTTCGAGCCCTACATCAGATTCTGTGCTGGTAGCGTGAAGCCTGCTTGGGATTCTCGCTCTCTCTCCCTCTCTCCCTCTCTGCCCCTCCCCCCCCAAAATTAAATAAACTTAAAAAAATATTTTAAAATAAAAATCACCTTCCTTCCCACCTATCCCCCATCTCCTTCCTCCTTCCTTCCTTCTTTCCCCCCTCCCTCCCTCCCTTCCAATGAAAGATTATGGAAAGTTTTGCAAAATTAGAGCCCAACTGCAAGAACAGAGCTACATATATATGTTGAATTCACTTGGTTTATCTGGAAAGTAGTTTACAATATGGCTCAATGCCTACCTTTGTCATATAAAATAGTTGCATTTTGATCCCCAACTTAAATTTAGGAGAGTGAGCCAAATGTTTCCTATTCAGATGGTATACTTTCCAATCATACTCCCTAATCTAATGAGACTGAAT